TCTTCAAATACCTTAAAGACAACATACTTGAAATCAAAACATAGTTGTGGTGAAATGTCATATTATGTAAATTTTTTATATGAAAATAAATGTATCTATTATGGATGAAAAAACCAAAATGTGTATTCATTATCAGACACGAAAGAGGACACCTCAATAAAACAGTTCTCCAATGTTTTCTTTGGTGTTTTTCCAAATTCTTGCTCTGTTTTCTATGAAAGATAGTAGTGAAAATTTTGAGAAAAACTACTCTATGTTATCTCCTTTCGTCTTCTGGAGAGTGCAATATAGTTGTGTTCATGCCCAATTTACAAGTAAACAAGTAAAGAAACTCAGAAGTTAACTTTCTCAATTGTGGAGGACAAGAATTTAAAAGGACATTCATATCTTCCACAAGGATTCCCTCTTACGCTTTGTAAACTCAAATATTCATAGCACATTATCAACAATCCTAAATCAGATGAAGAGTGCTCTGGAAAAATGACTGTGAATATGGATTGCTGTATATCAAGTATATAAAAGAGGGTATAATTATATTAATTTTCAACCTACTTTCTGTTTACCATCTCTCCTTGTAATCAACATTCTTCCTTCTTCATTGAAAACATATTTACTTTCTATCAAGTATAATGAAAATATACAACAGTAATTCTCAAAGAGTGTTACCTGGATCACAGCATCAACATCTGAAAACTTTCAATAAGTACAAATTCTCTGGCCCCACCCCAGATCTACTGAGTCCAAAACTCTGGGGATGGAGCAACCAGCTGTGCTTTCACAAGTTCTCCAAATGAGTCAGATGCCAACATTTGAGTACCATGTATTTGGAATGATTCTACTTGGACAACACTTTCCATCAACTCTCATATCACTTGAATAAAATGAAAATTGGAAACTATAGACCATGCAGTATGTATATGTGCAAGAAAAACCATATAAAATGTCCCAATAGGTGGAAAATCCCTCATCACTTCATAAAAAAGATTGCTAGAAGGATGTTTAAAATATATCATTTTTCACGTTTTCCTATCTTGACAAGCTATCTGATTAACTGACCACTGTCTCAGTACTGGTACCAATTCTGTCTATAAAAAAGTAGATCTAAATGACAGCTAGATGACTGATGATAGGTTATAGGTGATAGATCAATAGAGTGAATATATAGAGAGAATATAAGCATACCTCTTCTAGCCCCTTAAGATGCACAGAGAGGGCATTAACTTTTTACAATGTCTATATTTGAAGTGTATCTTGGGAACTGAAATAAAGAAATATGCTGTTGATAAAGAGCAACGTCAGGACAGAGCCTCAGAGCACAGGGAACCTAGGAGGGCTGTCCCATGATGTATAGAGAGAAACAAGAACACCTGAGCAGAAGGCAGAGAACTTTGACTTTTTAGCAAAGCATCTAGTTATTACTATATGAACTCAGGGCCATGTCTTATTGAATGAAGAAAGGTTTTGAGAAGATCAGCATGAATAATAACTATTTCATGGACACTTCCACTTAAGGATACTTCAGAATTGGCCATACTGACTTGGACTACACTTGCAAGCTATGTGGAATTCTATGTGGAGTCACATCATTGTGACTCCCAACTAGTCCCTGAAGACCTTCCATCCATCTCCCTCCTTCTATGTATCTGCAGGATAAACAGGAGATGTAGTTAAATTACCCCCTCAAAAAAAAAATAATAATCACAAGCTCCCCAGTCTATCTCCATCTCTCTCTAACTCCTTATACATTACTGCCTTAGAGGTCAAGACCACCTGCTTTGGAGGCAAGTTAAACGTTTACTAGTGGATTGAAATCTTCCACAGCAAGTGCATGTACAATCTCATAATTCAGAATTCAATATGCTCTTTGGCACACTTATATTTTAAAACATAGTGAAGTCAACAAAATAAAGGAAGGAACTTTACTTCAAGAGATTACAGACTCTAATTTCAACAGTAAATCTAGAAAGAAGATTTGCTCTAAGTGTTGCAGGAGAGGGGAGTAGGGCAGAATGGAGAGTGGAAATAATATTGCCAAATGGCTGTGAGTTAAAAGTTCTCTGCCTCTGGGATTTTTAAAAATCTCAACCATAGTCAGGCACAGTGGCACATATCTGTAATACCCAGCAACATGGGAGGCTGAGGCAGGAGAATTGCAAGTTCAAGGTCAGCTTGGGCAATTTAGTGAGACACTGTCTCAAAAAGGGATTAGGGTGTAGTTTGGTGGTAAAGCATCCACAGGTCCCATCCCAGTACAATCAATCAATCAATCAATAAAATCTTAATCACACTGCCTTCAAACAATTGTGAGTTCTTACACATCATTGCCTCTAAGATATCCTAACAGTATTTAGCAGTTGATCTATAGCAATGCAGTAAAACACTGTCCCTGTTGGTAGGAATAGCACCATCTATTTAACTGGGCTTGAACACAGCCTTCCCCTTACCCAGGGGTCAGTCTACCCTTTTCAAGTCTACTTTCTTCCACTCCTGTTCTGGCACTCTAGGAAGCAGAGAGATACTGTGGATATGAATTTGTGGTGTGAAATTTATATCCTTCTGGATATAATTTGGTTTTAGTTGGGAAGCTGATCACAGATCAAGGATCTGGCAAAGTTCCTTCCTCCAAACTAGCTGCACATTTATAGAGTGACTGGGAGAAGTGACAACATCACCTTGCTGATTTGACTTACCTTTGCCCTGTCAGTAGATATAAAGTTGTATTTATTTCTAGGCAGAAAATGACTCCAGGAAGAAAATGAGCTACTGTAAGAGCTATGGTTGGGAGGAAGACATGAAAGGGTTTAAGAAGGAAAATAAAAAATTTATAAGAAGAATCATGTTGTTTTTGTCAAATCTTGAGATTCAATACTTAAACGAACTGAAGTCAGGGAACAGAAGAGATTCTTGTACCCCACTATTGAAAGCAGTAATATTCTCAACAACCAAAAGGTAGGGACCACCAACAGATGAGTGGCTAAACAAAGTGTAATGTGTGTGTGTGTGTACGCATGTGTACATGCATCTCCAAAAGGACTGAGATTCTCAGACATGCTACAGACAAGGATGAACCGTGAAGACATTATCATTGTGCAACATGAAATCGGACAGTCACAAAAGAACCTATGTTGTATGACTGTGTCTATATGAGACACCTAGAGTAGTAAATTCATAGAGACAGAAAGCAGAGCAGTGATTACCTAAGACTGGGGAGAGGAGGAAAGGTGAGGTATTGTTTAATAAAAAGAATTTCAATAAAGACCAAAATAAGTGGTTAAACTGGGTGTTTATGATAGGTTTAATGAAGAATGGAGTCCAGACAAATATCATAGGTCAAAAGAAGTGTGAGTTCAGTGTATTTATTTGGTGTTGGAGATGGAACCCAGGGCCTCAATGCTAAATTCTACCACTGAGCTACACTTCCACCCCTCAGATTGCTCTTAACACCCCTTTGTCTTTATAGATAAGAATTTCCTTAAATGTGTTTTTGGAGATAAGGAAGGGCACCTCTCGAATTAAGGTCTTGCGACCCACTTTAAGGAAGGTCAGGAAGCCCTTCCTGCACGTGTTACTTCTCGAAATTCCTTCATCTTAAAATATTCAATAAACTAAGGTGCCATATCAACATTATGGAACAAAGTTATTCTAAACCCACAACAAGTAGTAGCGATTGTTGTTAGTAAATTATATACGAGTGTTTGGAGGAAATATTGAAGTTTAAAAAACTAACATATCAGATTACTTTTAAGAGATGGAGGCAAGAAAACAAAAACTAGATGCAAGATGAGACAGAAAAAGGAGTCCACATGATGGCCAGTGGCCAGCTATGCCAAGGAAGAAGAAGAAGTAAGTGAGAAGAGAGCTGGAAGGTCTGAGAGGGCAAATGTTTGGAAAGTTTAAAATGCAGAATTTATTCTGAGAATGGACATAATTCCTTGTGAATCTCAGCAATTCATGAAATCTCGTTCTGTGATGTTCTTCTGTCTCTCTTAGTATCAACGAGGAGTACTATTGATCATGACAGGGAGGACTAATTGGCATTGGGTGTCCAGGAAAACTATTTTGGCTAAGTATCTTAGATTTGCTACAGGAGAGAGGAGAAAGAGAAGACTGAAGAGCAGGTGTTGACAAGAGCAGCAGCAGGAGGCAGCCCACACAAGGGACAGCGTTGTGACAGGTTTCTGAGGGAATATAGTTCCTGGCACCTACATGGTGCAAAGTGCAGCATGATTTGGCAAACAGAGCCAGGAAGGAAAAGATAGAAGAAAAGATAACTGAAAGATAACAATGACTCTTTAATCTGGTAGCCAGTCAGAAAAGTAAGCCGGGAAGAAAACAGAAGATGGTACTGTCAAAGCAGAAGTATTAAGTTAGTACTTCCTTATAATTTATCAAGATGTTAAATGGAATCACCTATATCTTTTTAAGGTCGAAAAGTGTAAACAACAAAGACAAGGAAATAAGTTACAAAGAAAACTCTCCCAGAATTCTTTTCTCAAAGCAAAAGCTCCTGTTCATCTGAGCACACACCAACACATTCAGGCTATTGTAAATAGTTTACTTTTCACCTCCCTGCAAAGCAGGGAGGGTTTGATTAAAACCTTCATTCATGACTTTGAACCTCACAATGCTCTAGTGCAGAAAAGCATCAGGTACCGCAGAGCTCCAGATAAGTAATGGGCCACATGCAGGTCTGTGGTTTGGCATTGGCTACCTTAATAACAATAGTGCTTGGTGCACTCCATTCCACAGACAAATGATGTGTTGAGATGTCACAAGACACCAAATAAATCCATGAAAACAAATGTCTTTCAGCAGATTAATTTTGTCTTAAACTCTTAGCATGTAACAAAATAGATTTCCTGTGTTCTAGAGCACGGATTGTAAAGAGTACCGAGTTAGTATTCTGTCTTTAATGTTTTGAGCAAGTTTAACGAGAAACAGGATTGTTTACCAGAACAAAATCCTTAAAAAAAAAAAAAGATTCTTATCTTTCACTTAGGTTAATAACATACCACACGTATTTGTCAATCAAATTAGAATTACTGTCAGCCCATAATGCATTTTAGTTTAGCCAATATCAGTCAGTCCTGATTTATTTGCTTAATACAAATCTAATTGAGTTTCAGGCTGCTCTTCTCCTTTCAGCTGTTAACCGACCAAGTACATCTTTAATTTCCAAGAACGATGGTGTGGTAGCAGTTGAGAGGAAGAGCGATTTGCATAAGGCCCCAGAAGGGTGCCAAAACTCTTCACGCTTTAAACAACAGCCTTTATTATTCTGTAAGTGGATGTGTTGAATTTTCATGCTTTTGTTTCCAGTTCAGTCCTGACAGAAAAGAATAAAGTAGATTTTGCCAGCACCCCTGCTGTGCCCTGGGGGAGAAATTCAATGTGCCTCATTTGTCTTAATTGGAGAACCGCCCTCAGCACCAGCTTTTCCTATGAATACATTAGCATAACAGACAGAAAATCCAAGCCCACTTTTGTAGAAATAGTCTCCCCACCACACACACCTCTCATTTTTAAGACTAATAAAATCTGCAAGAGGGGAGAAGTGCGTGTTTCATCTCCTGGATTTCTTATAGTTGCAGTTGTAAAATTCTCGTACAGAAGAGATGCATCAAACCTATTTTATCTCTGCACTGTTATTAGAGCCAGTCGTGAAGAATGTGATAAATATCATCCATGACAGAGAGCTGAAAGCTTCTCTTTATTCTTCATAATGTGCTAATCCTATATACTTGTTCTTTGACTGGTTATGCAGCTCTTTCACAGGGGAGAGTTGGAGATGAATGTGTCTAGAAGGAAAAGAAAAGAAAGAACAATTCTTACTAAGGTGAATTTATTAACACTAAAACAAACGCAGTTATCGCCCTCAAACCAAGATCTTAAAACACTGTGCCAGTTCATGGGAGAAAAATTACATTCATCTTCACGTTTTTCGAATTACAAAAGGGCTCCAAGTTCGGACAAACAGCCTGAGAGGTGTAAATCATTTCCCTAATCCAGGTTCTTGCAGTATCCGATTGAACTGATGGAATTTAAAAGTGAGCATTTCCAAAGAAATATTTTGTTTACATGTTCCCAAGACTGGTATTAATTCTTCCATCACATCTGTTCAACCTGCTTGCCATGGCTAGTAAGTGGAAGAGATGAAAAATGGGAAAAGATGTAATTTCCTAAAAAAAGCATGGTTCACACATTCTCTTGGAAAAAAAAAAAAAGTCTACCTTTAAAAAAAAAATCCACATTTTGTCTTGATTTTCCACAGCAGGTCTCATTTACCTCGAAAGCATCTGAGAATTTTAAATAAGGTGGGGGCCAAGGGGTGCATGATTTTGTTCTTGTTTAGTTTGTTTTGTTTAGAATTATTTGTGCCTTCATTTAAAAACTAAGTACCTTGTGGGTCAGATCCTTGTGAGTAAATGGAAGGGGAAATAATTTTGGAATAATAATTTAGGGATCCAGAAGTTCCCAGGGCCTAGAGAGACCAACCAACTCTTCCTTCTGTATAAATCCTCATTGTGTCTCCTCTGGAGCCCAAAGGCAAAACAGGGATTGTCAATGTGCGCCTTCACTTTTTAGCCTTCACTTTCCATTCCCTCATCCCCAGCGGGTGTACCAAGAGATTATGGTGAGTAGATGTCAAGAGCTAAGAATCAAATGTTTGCTTTCTTGTGTAAATGAATATAAAAAAATAATCACCTGACTTGATCTGTCCTGCAAGAGGGTGTCAGCTTTTCACTTTACTACTAGCATTATTTACATTACAAAAATAGCAAGCAGGTTACCAGGTTAAGGTATTGCAATATTTGAACATTGATGTGAAAAAATTTTGAAAGTGGAGATAGCATAGGAAAGTTGACAGGAATGTAAGACTCAAAAAACAAACTAAGTATTTTCTTTTTCAGGAAAAAAAAAAAAAAAGTATGGGATGGTGGTTTGGGGATGAAGCTCAATGGTAAAACACTTGCCTAGCATGCCCAAAGTCCTGGGTTTCATTCCCAGTACCAATAAATAAATAAATAATAGATAGGTAAATAAATAAATACCATAGGATAGAGAGAGCCTGATGTGTTCACAGGGGACCATCTCTTTTACTGATGTGCAAGACAGGCTGAGCCTCATGAATCGAGTGTGAGTTTATATCCCAGACAAGACTTTAAGGAGAGTTAAGGGGGAGTTTTAAGGATGATTCAGAAACTCTCCTAATGTCTAGAATTTTGTTTAGAAAGCAAGAGAAACTATCTAAGAAAAATTGAAGACTGAATTAAAGCTTTACTTGGGTGGTTATTGCTGTACTTAAATTTATTTTGCTGTTGAAGATTTTTCTGAACATCTGCTTATTGTGAGAGTAATATGTGTTTCATTTATCAAAACAAGGAAAATTCCAGTACTGATTTTTAAAAGAATAAAATCACTTATGGTTCTTTATATATTTATTTGGTTTTTGAAGGAAAAAAAAAAGCCCACATTCTTCATGGATATAATATGCAGATTGGAACTTTTGAATGCACTAATGAGGAAGGCTCTCTCCTTGATCAAGTCTGGCACTGCTAAGCTTTATTTTTCAATTCCATCCTGTCCTTGGGCATATCCTCAAGAGCCCAGTGTTAGCAAGAATCCTATCAGGTCAGTTCAGCCAGAATCTCTCATTTTTAATATCTCATCATCCTCAAGATCTGACAAAGTTCCTCAACCCCGCAAGTGATTTCCCATCATCCTCACTCTCGGGTGAAAAAATTTTAGCACTGTTAAAAGAATAACTTTATGCATAATCAATTCAACAGTGTTTACTTGTTCATTCAAGGATTCATGAATTGGGTACCACTCAAAACTGGAAGAGCAAGGTTCAAAGAGCCGTGGGTTAGCAGCATGAGCAGAGGGCTTTACAGACTGAACTTAGAAGCAAAAGAAAAGCAATTACGTGATTGGCTAAGGCTAGATATTTGCCTTATTTGGGTGTGATCCTGTGGAAACTCACTGTTTAGAGGTTGGCAGTTTCTGAAGGGCTAAGCTTGGGCTCTGTTTTACTGTTTATATTGATTTGGGTTTGGGTTTGCTTCCATAAGAGCCCAAGGCACTGGAGCTATCTTAGCATAATGACCTCCCAATTAATTATCTTCGAAGCACTAATATGACACTTTTATGTTCTCCCTCGATGTCAGTTTGCCACCCACCAATACCATCCTAGTTTAAAAGGTGCCAGTCAGATTTAATCTCTTTGGCAAGATGAATTTGCTGATAACCTACCTAGGCAGAGTTAAGAAGGTCGACTTTATGTGGTTCAACCATTATTTTTGATGCCATCACTGTTTCTGCAAATCAGTTTTATCCACAAATTTAAGCATTTGGATTAATGCCTGTTAAAAACCAGGCTACCGTGGGGGCAGGCTACTGTGGGGGGCAGATGGATGGGATGTTAACTCTCCCCATAGCCATAAAATATAAATTTATCTTGAAACCCTAAGGCAAAAATAATCAAGATGATTTTACATGGCATATTACTGTGGGAATTATATGGAATAATAATGATTACCTTCAGGAGAGAGGTCTTGATGTGGCTTGTCCCCCAGAATGAACTCCTGGTGTTCTTTTATGAATCTATATTTTGACAAATGAATTTCAAGAGTTTTGTAACTATTAATATGGAAAAATCTAGAATAATTGACTTTGGAAAGCACTATTTCAATTTTATAAATTTATTTATGCAAGTGCCTTAAGTGGTCAAAACGTGAAAACCAAACCATACCAAGAGTAGACACCTTAATAGGACCACAGTCTAAGACCAACTATTCCTGAGCTTACAGAGTTCAAGTAACAATAATCTAAGGTCCTACCTGATAATTGTTGAATGTTAACAAATTACAGATGAGTACTGACTTGACGTTAAAGAATTAACAATAATGTGCCATTTCCTGTAGTAACAGACATAATGATGAGCTGGAAACATTGGTAAGTTGTTTTGTACCTTGAAATTTCTCACCTTAAGGAATCTGTACCAAATTGGGCAAATGAGGATTTCTTGTTCATTCAGGGAACACCCCAAGTATTATTTTCTCTTGCTCAAACTTCTTTGAAAGTTGACAGATATTCCCTTTCTGGCTTGATGACATCTTGGATTCTGCAGACAGAGCCAACCTAAAGTGCAAAAGGCACTGAGAGTCACCACTGCTTTACCTGTTGACAGGGTTCAGAACATGGTACCCTAAAACGTGGAACAGGTCAAGAAAATATCTAAACATGTCAGATATTGAAAGCTGAGGAATAAGGAATAATTTATATATTAGACACAGTAAAAAATTAATAATAATAACTAGTAAAAAAAAAATCTGGCACTAAGAGGACTGTGACTTCCCTCTCCTCCACTAAGGCCAGAAGACTGGAATACCCTGTGTCTGAAGGCAAAGGAACACAAGAGGACTCTGAGTAAAAAGGCCTTGCTGTGTACACCTCCAGCTTGCTGTCCTTCGCTCATCCCTTCTGTTTTATCACATTTCCCCATGACTTTCCACTCTCCACAATCCTAGCACAAAAATATTCAGGCTTAGTTATTTCTTGGGTCTTCATTTCTTTATGAAGCCTCCTATAAACATCAAACTTATATTGCATAAAATATCATTCTAAGGCTTTGTTCATGTTAATCTCTATTATGCTAGTCTGATTTATGGGACCCTAGCCTGAGAACCCAGGAGAAGGGGGAAAAGATGTTTTTCTTCTCCTGCACCATCAACATTTTTCAGCACTATATTTTCCAAAAAGAGATGGAAAGTCAGGTGATGAATGATAGTTGTTATATAACCATCACCTGAAATGGCTTTGTTTTGTTTTATTTATTTATTTATTTTGAGTTGTCGATGGACCTTTATTTAATTTATTTATTTATATGCAGTGCTGAGAATCAAACCGAGGGCCTCACACATGCCAGGCAAGTACTCTACCACTGAGCCACAATTCCAGCCCCTTGTTTTCCCTTTTGGAGTGCTGTGGACTGATCCCAGGGCTTCACAGAAGCTAGGCAAGTGCTCTACCACTGAGCTATAACTCTATACCCTCCTCTAGGTTTTAATCTAAAGAATTCCACCAGAATAAAGCATGCAATAGTATACAGCACTTTTCCTCTGGAAAAAACAACTAGGACTTTCTAAAAAGCTGGTAGAACTGTGCCATTGTAACCTACATCTGGTATCTAGACAAAGTAAAGATGGGCCAGGACTATACTCCTCGGTGGTATCTGGTGTAAGGAAAGCGAGGAATATGGAGACATAGATTGTCACTCTTGCCAGCAACGCTCCAGAAGTTATTCAAAAACAAGAGAGGAAAGGGATGTTTATAAGAGACTCTAAACACATCCATCTGATATTGGAGGACAAATAAAGGAAAATGTTCTGCAATGAAGGAAATTTGGGGTGAGAGTGGAGTCCAAACAAGTTTGGATGTGTCTGGGCAAGACACTGCAGGACTAGTAGCAGGCAAGAACACACAAAGAGCATGAGGAGGGTGCATCCTCTCTGGAATTCTTTGAGCTATGACAGTGCTGTCTTCCTCACTCATTTGAATGCATTATTCACCTCTGTATCTTAGGAGCTCAGCTAAAATGGGATTTAAAAAAAAAAATCCAACTGGCAAGACTCCCACAGGAATTGAGCTAACCACTTGGCTGGAAAAACAGTCTTGGATGTGATAGCGTGTAAACTTAGACAAGCCTTCAGCTACTATCGAGATATATTGTCTTGGTATCTGTTCAGGGAGCTGTAACAGAATACCACAGATCAGGTGGCTTTTAAACAACAGAAATATATTTCTCGTGCTTTTGGAGGCTGGGCATCCAGAATCAAGGCCCCAGCGGATTCAGTGCCTCTGTGGGCCCACTTTCTCACATGCTTCCTCCTTAGCTCCTCACTCAGCCTGCCAGAAGCAGGGCGGGAGCTTTCTGGGGTCTCTTTTAACCATGACTTAGTCTCCTCCTGAAGGCCTCATCTCCCAGTACCATCATACTGAGGATTAGGTTTCAACACATGGATTTGGGGGAAACATATCCACTAATTTTCATGGGTCATAGCAAACTCAAGGGAAAGATGTAGAACGCTTTTTTAAAATCTGGGTTCTGATACATACTGAAAGGGTATGAATAAGGTCAGTGGAGGTTAAACTGCAGAATAGACAATGAAATCCCTTACCATGTGCTAAGCACAAAAACGGGTCTAAGGAAAGAAATCCAAAAGCCAGGCTTGTGGGGCACATCTATAATCTTAGTGACTCAGGAGATTGAGGCAGGAGAATTGCAAGTTTGAGGCCAGCCTGGGCAACTGAGAGAGGACTTGTCTCAAAATTTAAAAGAAAATATTTTAAAGGTCTGGGGATGTAGCTCAATGGTAGAATGTA